CGATCCCTGGTCAGATATTTTTGTCCATTACACAGCTTACTACTCACATCCATCAAGTGCCGAGGTCAAAAATGGTGGAGCTAACCTCTGTTCCCGAAACGTCTTCATGGCACGGTGCTTAATTAAAAACAGGGAACACTCGCAGCTAAAAAGGGAACACACATCACAAGACACGGTTTACACAAAATATAAGAAAAACGACCCCCACAGTAGAAGAACCACACGCAAGTTTTAATTATGACACATAAGGTGAATAATCTTATGTGTAATCTTGTGTAAATTTATTATAGTTGACAAATACGCACTTTTTAAATATTTTTTAAATCATTTTATAAAGGCAAGCAATGAAATAGATTAGCGTAATTAGGGCACCTGATGATGGCACTGTTGCCGAAACTTGTCGTGAAGTAACAGGTGAAACTGAGTGCACTGAGTATACATATCATGGATGAAAATCAGTGCAACAGGACGCTAAAATACAACATTAAAAACAGGGACACTTCAAAATATCCTAGTGCCTTTACCATCTCACTATTTTCTGCGACGAACAGTGTAGCGTTATGAACAACAGTGAAGTTGTCCCTGTGCTTAACTAATTAAGCGCTACGCCATGAAGGCGTATGGGGGAGTGGATGTACAGATTCACGTTTTCTTGACCTCGGCACTAGCTGGAGGTGAGTGGTCAGCTTCACGTCCCGGCCGCTTTACTCCCAGTACCAACTGAGTGGGAGATTGGGTGGAACCCAGAGCCGGTCTGAACGATTTTGAGAAGAGAAAATTATTGAATTTACTAGGACTCGAACTCCGACCCCTCGGCCGTCCAGCCCGTAGCCAGTCGCTACACCGACTGCGCTATCCCGGCTCCTTCACGACTAATAGACTCGCAGTAATTTTATTGTTTCTTGTGTTGTTCGCGAAGGAGACGAGGCCGTGTAATAAGCATCGGGGTTCAAGAGTGGAGTCCTGGCTCGACAGAAAACCAAACCGAACGAGGAAGTGGCTTCAAATAAATACTTTACACGAGATCTAGACAAATTATACATCCAACCGTCCTGAAATTTATTTCACGAGATTATGTTATTGCAGAAACCCTCCCACACGGAGAACTAAGCGATATGGTGAAACGTCAATGGGCTATTTGCGAAGTTATACTGTCACGTGATAGAGTGACTACAGACGGGGTTTTGGATTGATGATCGGGTTTTAGTGGACACTATGTGTGACAGCGCGTGACAATTTACAATTCACACACACACATTAGTGTCCACAGTCACTTCTTCACTGTCGTTGCTTGATAGCGGCTTCCAACAGTGGACGCTGTCCTTTCTCTTGGTTCCCAAAATGTCTCCGACATCAGCTACAGCAACTCTCGACTAACTCACAAAACAACTACTCTTCAATTTACTCAAATGGCACTCATTAACTGCCTTGCTTGAGACATCTCGGCACGGCGCGCACAGAAAACTCCGTTATATTAATGCTGCGCCGTGTCCTAGTAACAGCCATACTTCAGTTATTTGTTTCGTAGTTGCTGCTTAACAACGGGTCTACATGCTACAATATAGAAGAGTTGATCACGACATGCATGAAGCATGCGGGAAATGAGAACCGGATATAAAATTCTAGTAAGAAAACCGGATAAGACCTCTCTGCAGATGTGTGGGCACCTGGGAGGATAATATTAAATTAGATATTAAGTGAACTAATAAGATCTAAAAGTTTGTGACGATGGCATATTTTTTCGACATTATCCATCGCCCTGTCTTGTATTTAAAAACTTTTCGGAGACTGGATTATGTCTCCGTCTTCAAGTAAAAATTTATTCAGCTGGGCCCAATCGATAGAGCTAGTTCCAATCCAACTGAGTAGGCCTTTACCTAAGGACGGAGACAGAGTCCAGTCTCAGAAAGCGTTGCTTTTAAATAAAAAATTATAGGGGAATGGAAAACGATCTAAAAGTCAATATCCGTTATTAAACGAGTTAGTTTAAGCTGTGTAGGGCTGGATTCGATGGGCTCAATGTGTGTTCCCACAGTGCACCATTGTGCAGCTTCATGAGCTGTGAATGTCTTGATGAGCTGAGTGACGACTACTTCACTAGAGACTAGTCTGCATCTTACAAGTCCTCGTGCTTCTATCCTGAGGGTACCTACACTAAGCGACGATCTTCAGCTCCGACGTTCCGTGATCTAGTGTCACTCTCAATATGACGCTCACCAAATTTTCCTCCGATCATTCTACTGACATTATTTCATTATTGCTGCGGATACCACCAACACTAACTAAACCTACCAGCTGATACAGTGTCATTTGATAACATCTCTCTCTCCTGCAACAAAATCAGCTTCAAAGCAAACCCGAAACGATCTTAGAAACATTCACCTACGTAAAGTTAAGAGTCTGTATCGAGAGGTCGCGGTCCCTGGAGCTAAATATCTGGCCCCCATAGACGTCCCCAGTCCCGAGGCAACGAAAACGCCTGCCTCTCTTTCTCTCTCTCTCTGAGTTATGTGAGTTCATGGAATGAGAAGATTTCCTGCAAACCGCTTGTTACGCTTCAAAATAAACTTCTCGGCCGTAGTTGTCGTCACAGTATCGGACAGCAGCAGAGCGTTCATAAAGAATGTCAGGACAACAGGACTATTAGAAAGAAAAGATAATTTTCTCTTCTTCCCAACTTTCCCTTGAACACAATTTATTTCCCTCTGCTCCTTGTAGTGTCCGAAACATTCGTAAGGAATTGCTAGATGCTCAGTTACTCGGAGATGTCATTAATGTCGGCTTACATAGAGTCTTCTTGGGTCAGAACGGCGATATAATTATAAACAGAGCAATGGCGTTTAATGGAAATAAAAAACTATCAAACTCTAAGCCGGGTCACATATATACACTGACAAGGACAGGGGACGCGGACGGAGTAACGGCGGTTCGACTCTGCAGAGCATTTCTTTTTTAAATTAAAAGATCTGTACAAACAGAGACATTCTTATTAGCAGGCTATAAAGACCAGAATGCCACAAATAACAATATACAGTAAGAGAAAGGAAAAGCAGTGAAGCAAATAACACGTCCATTAGTGGAAACATTTCTTAGATCACAATTCACAGAGAAAAGCCAGTCTTTTAATTGGACACGTTGTCTCTGTCACTCTGAAGGGTAAACATAAGGAGGGGTGAAGGGAAGATTTCCTTGTTAATTGCCAGCTTTAATTGGATGGAATCAGCAGATCCTGCAAAGATATATTTCCCGACTCTGAAGAAGAATAAAAACAGGGAGGAAAGAAGGATTCATTCCTTGGTTGCTACGACCCAATAGGCAAGGTCACTTGACAGTATTTCATTCATTTCTAAACGAAGTTGCAAATTCGTGGTCTGAATACGCATGCGCCATGCTGTACAGCAGACATACAGGGGAATCCCAGCAGCGCCCGACTCAATCACAGCGGGCTTTCCTTCCGCGCACTTATTTGATATACGGTATATGTGGTGCTGTCAGGAATCGAACTCCGCTCAAGTATGTAGTTAGAAATACTACTGAGACAGCCGGACTCTAATGGCGTAGCAAACGTCTATTACATTTGTTTCAGTTCAAATAAAAGAAGAAACTGGCAACAGTCCTCACTTCACAAACACATTAATTTTGAAAATATATTTATCTTTGTACCCCTTTGTTCGGCCTTTGCCGCTTTTCAGTTTCTTAATCCTATACACAGTAGGCAGGACTTCTTGGACGGGGGATCGGCCCATCGCAAGACCGCTAACTATACACAGTACAACACAGACAGAGAATAAACGAATACAACCATCCATGACTCAAGTGGCATTCGAACCCATGATCTCAGCGTTCAAGCGTGCAAAGAGAGTTAATGCCTTAGACCGCGCGGCCACTGTGACACACTTCGAAATACTGATGAGAAAGCATAACTTGATACAATAAAATGGAATTACGAGGGCAAGTCTTTTAGAAAAGTCGCCCTACAGCAAAACACCATGACAGTGGATCACTGGAGGTAAAGTTCGGCAGGGCCCTGGGACTGAACCATCATCACTATAACAATTAGTAGCGGTCCGTCATTTCTAGCCTTAAATTTTATGAAACAGCAGCATCGACAACTTTGCTATGAATATTTCAGTTACATCCACATACCTAAACACTACAATAGCTGAGTCGGTATAGCGATGGGTTACGGGTTCGACGGCCACTTAAGATTCCAGGTAGATGCAAAAAAAAATATCTGCACCTCACAGTCCACACCGGCTCTGGTATAAAAAACCACTATTAACGGCCGTGGGGATCCCTTGCGCAGACTACGTGACAACCTCTATCCGCAAAAGTTGGCACTAACTTCGCCGAAAACCGGCGGTCGCTCGGTCGGTATAGTTCGCTTGCGGACTACAGGCCAAGGAGTATGTTTGTTTTTCCATAGTATGAACCATGGTAGCGTAGTTGGTTGAGGAACTATGCTACAAGCCGGAAGGTCGCGGGATCGAATTTCTATGAGGTGGATTTTTTCAATCTACCTAATCCTTCCAGCCGCAATGTGGCCCTGGAGTCGACTCTGCCTCTAACAGAAATGAGTATCAGGAATCTTCCTTGGGGTAAAGGGCGGCCGGCGGGTAAGGCTGGCAACCTTACCGCCATCTATGAGCCGATTGTCTAAGAAATGTGGGAGCCTCGACGTCTCACAACCCTATGGGCTTCCACGGCCCGTCACAGGGATAGCTTTATGAACCATAAGCACGCCAACGACGACAAAGGCATTTGACGAGATTCAACGATCAGGCAGGATCAGAATAAACTAAATTGTCTACAACGGGAAATAGAGAAAAGCGCCGTAAATCACTGCTCCAAGCAAACCACGGGTGTTACAATGCACGCATATCGCCGCCAAGATAACAATCACATCTGTGGAAATAAACACATTACTTCTGTTTCTTAAAACTTGGACACTGAGAACTGAATACACAACGCCACAGGACAGCGGGTCACGAACCACGTACCTTGTTCGACGGGTTCCGGGAATATGACGGCAGTGTCGCTCCTCTGCATGTACTCCTGCAGGATCTTCTCCTCTTCCTCCCCCAGGAGTCCTCTTCTCAACATTTGGCGTCTCCGAGGCACTTCGTCAGTCGATATCACTTCACTTTCATCACCCAGAACCTCGACCTCATTCTGTCCCTCCGCATCCTTCCTCACTTTCACCATGAGCAACCCCTGGAGTCCTGCACTGCCCGCATCACGCCCAACAAATATCCTCCCAGATTCACCTTCGTCAGGTGACGACACTATCAGACAGTTCTGGTCTTCGGTCTGCCGAGAGGTTCCATCGGCAAGAGGTTGATGGTTGTGGTTGTTGTCGGGGCTCATGGCGGCTGCTGGTGGGGCGCAAAGGTCACCTGCCGCCCCTGCGCCGCCCACGCTAGCAGCCGCCGAGGTCAGTACTACGTTGTCTGAGGACAGGTTCTCCAGGTCGACTGCAACACACAAGAGAGTTAACCGTCAGAATGTGCGCGAAAGAAGAATCGTGCGAAATTGTAAAGGTTCCTAAAGATGGAGGCAGCGTTACTCCCAAGGACTGAAATATCTTTTAATTCGTGGAGGGCCGTCACACTAAGTCCACTTGGTATGTCGGACAGTAGGAAATCTGTTTATCAACCTTGTACGATAATGGTGAGAGGAATGATAATTGGTAGGGGAAACCGAAGTACTCAGAGAAAACCTGTCTTACTGCCATTTTGTCATCCAAACGGCCTACATGCCTTGAAGTGGGAACAAAACCTGGCCAATGCGGTGTGAAGCCGACGACTAAGAGCCCAAACTATGGCACGTTCCCCCCAGCACATTATGGAACCCGAAAGTTCATTACCGTGTTCACAAGAGCCCTCCATTGGTCCCTATCCTGACCAAGATCAATCCAATCCATACCATACCATCCCATCTCTCTAAGATCCATTTTGATAATGTCCACCCACCTACGTCTCGGTCTTCCCAGTGGTCTCTTTCCTTCTGGCTTTCCCACCAATATCCTGTATGCATTCCTCTTCTCCCCCCATTCGTGCTACATGCCCTGCCTTTCTCATCGTCCTTGACTTGATCATTCTAATTATACTTGGAGAAGAGTACAAGTTATGAAGCTCCTCATTATGCAGTTTTCTCCAACCTCCTGTCACTTCATCTCTCTTCGGTCCAAATATTCTCCTCAACACCCTGTTCGCAAACACCCTCAGTCTGTGTTCCTCCCTTAATGTCAGAGAACAAGTTTCACACCCATACAGAACCACAGGCAAAATTATAGTTTTGTATATTCTAATATTTTATGTTTTTGGGCAGCAGACGAGAAGACAAAAGGTTCTGGACTGAATGGTAGCAAGCATTACCCGAGTTCAATCGCCTCTTAATTTCCTCCTGAATCAGGTTACGGCCAAGAACTGGATTAACACGAACAAATGAGGACGTGGTTAATAACAACAAGAGCTGCTGTACTGATTTTAACCTAATTAACTACAGCCAGTCTGATTTCACTATTCTCTTGAAGGCATAACGTGAATATTTAGGATAACAACAGGGACTGGAAGACATAACCTCAACATAAGTGGCGACACTTCGTGTGACAGATAAACGCCTGAGGAGAATGTTTTGGAAGCATTCAAACAAGACTTCAACAGCGACCGCAAATGCAATCTGCATCATTTTTACTTAATTCTTTTAATCAGTAAAAACGTACCAGTAAGTGCATGCAGACGAGTAGAATCTCTACACTGTTATTAAGTGTAAGTGTTCGTTTTAAATTCGATCATTAATGGCGTTGTTAGTGTAGAGAATGCTCTCATGATCTGCGTGTGCGTGTGTGTGTGTGTGTGTGTGACTATAGACGGGGTAGATATTGGTGAATGGATTTATACCGCTTCAGTGTCTTCACTAGTCGTTGCTTGGTAACAGCTCTCAACAATGGAGATTCTTTAGCTTTTGCGCTCACGTCGTTACTGTCCGGCGAATATCCCACAACTGAACTAAAGTGCAATGTCTTCTCAGCCCCCTTGCAGAACTCAACTCTCAAATGACTCAGCTGCTCCAATTGTCTTCCACATAACCCCTTTACACGGACCGAGCAGAAGAACACACCGTTTCCAACAGTAACTCTATTGCTGCAAATGTATTCGTTACCGCGGGATGGCGTTTAACGATCCGTTGCCTACAAACGAGTTGCATAACACAGTTTATTTAGAATCTGCTGCCCTAGTAACGAGCGTTGCTTAGCAACCGTTACGCAGCAACGGATCTACACGCGATGGTAAGGCGAAGGCGAATATGCATCAGTTGGTGAAATGAGAATTGGCGACGAAACGCGCCCCATTCCCACTACGTCCATCACATATTCCACATGACCCGACGTAAGACTGAACCTGGGGCTGTCGCAGTGGGAAGCCGGCGACAGACCGCCTGAGCTATGACACGGCCTACATTTATCGAAGTTTAATGGGAAACTAGTGTATAATATATGAGTCTGTATATCTTCCGGACACAGCCCACAGTTCTTGAAGAAAATATCTGCAGATCTGTGAGCTGTACAACGCTAAACCGCCGCTCCTGTGTTATGCACTTCCAGTGGACGTAACGGATCGGAGTTAAACACCTCGCTGGATCTGTGGTAATGGCACGTAAGATATTTCCCAAATCCCCCGTAACACGCCCTCTCAAAGACTTGCTTGCTGTCCTTAAATCCATTCTGATTACGCGACCGCACGTCCTGTCCGAGTGGTTGTTATGGTGATCTGCCGCATTACGTATGCACAGTACAGACAACGGTCTCTCAGCCTAAACACTGTACCACGCCATGCTCCGTGCCTCTCCACGCTAACATCTGAAACATTCCCAATGCAGCACAGACGAACATGTACCAACGCACCCAAAGTGTCAGTATGGCCTCCCGGGTTGTAACGCCATGCTGTTCAAAGAAATTCCGAGAAACATACCGCTTCCATCTTCAGGACCGAAGGGTAATTCCCGCAAGAAACCAGTTTCAGAACGGCTTCCTTCATGTTTAGTATCACATTATGGTTACCGAAGTTTCGTGCCCTGTTGGTTTATTTGGCTTAATCTTCGACCCTGAAGATGGAAGCGATATGTCCAGCTGACAAGTTGAATATTCTGTACACCGCGTGGAGTTACGATCCAGGAGACGGTGGATCTGAGAACATAACATGAAACGCACCGAGGAGGGTATGCATATGTCAGACTTCAATTCAGTTTGCCTATTCTTCATTAACCCGAATCATTAGAGTCCATGGGTAATACGAGCATAGGAGAGTGGAAATAACAGGAAAATGGTGAAAAATACATAACGACCGTACATACGACAAACTTCTGCACAAACAGAAACATTCCGGACAGCCACCGGGTACAAATGAACAAAACCATAAGCCAAACACGTGCATAGCAATTGTTCAAGGACACTCAAATAAAACAGCTTGTTGTCCCGCAAACAAGATAGAAACTAACAGCTTTACAGTGAGCGGCCGATCCTTCACAAAACAACTTGTACACGTGAACACGACCGGTTAGGCCGAAACATGTAGCCATACAATGAGGAAGACAATATTAACCGACGTTGCACATCGACGGCATAGAAAAAGCAGAACGCAAAGTCAGTTCGTAACGGGATATAATTGTAAATATTAGGGCGATAAAATGAGAAAGGATTAGATGGGTATTACATGTAGCAAGCATGGTGATGAAACATGCGAGTAAAATCGTATCCGGAAAACCAAAGTGAAAAAAAGACACTCGCAAGATATATGCGTAGATGAGGATATTATTACTATTTACACTTCTCAATACTCAATGATAACTTCGATTTGTTTTAATTATATTATTATTATTAACGTCACTATTATTATTTCGTTTGTTGATCTGTTCACTTTTCTGCATTAAGTGTTGTTTCCTCCAGTACTTGCCTGCAACTGCCAGTCACGGTAGCCAAGCGGTCTAAGGCATGTACTGTCTTCGTTCGCTTCGAAACCGAGAGCGTGGGTTCGAATCCCACTCAGGGCATGGATGTTTAGTTTGTGTGTGTGCGTTTTTCTGTGTTTGTGTACAGGTAGAGGCCTTGCGACGAGCTGATCACCCGCCCAAGGAGTCCTACCGAATGTGTATGATCTAGAAAAACCGAAGTGAACGGAGAAGTTCATGGAGGTAGGCCTAGGCCCACTGGGGCTGTAGTGCCAAGGAAAGTAAAATTTGCCTGTAATTAGTCTCTGACTTCATGTGTTTGTCCGTAAAGTAATTCCTTGTAGTGTCTAAACTGTGCTGTGTCTGTAATTGGCTGTTCAGCGTTTGATTCGGCACATAAAGAACTGAATTATTATTATTATAGCGGATATTTAAATAAACACTATGTGAAGATGTGAACTGTATTTATCCATCACTCAAGATGGCGTCCAGCGTTGTGCTCCTGTGGACTTCTGCATGAAGACCTCGCAACGTGGAGTTATAGGTAAGATCCTTATGTAAACAAAACAGTGCCGATAAAGGTAGGTTGGTGGTTTCCAAGATCAACCGTTCTGATATCACCAACATCATAATCATTATTATGATACTTCGTTAGGCCAGAAGTGGCCGCAGTAGAAGGGACTTAGTCCCACCCCACTAGCAACAAAGAAAATCATACTTCATCGAGGATTTGATTATTTTAGGGGCGACCTGTTGTGGCCTCAGTGTTCACATCACCCAACAGTCTTCAAAGTCGACACCCAATTCTGACTGTACGACACTTGAGGATTTGTTTCGAGCCTCAAGCAATAAAACCAACTGCTTCAAGTAGGTTCATGCCCATTTTCTTCTGAGGGATACTTTCGAGTTCATTGAAAAAATATCTATGTATGTTTTACGGCCGACCCGAGTTACGTGGCTGTTGCGGCGCTGTATATGAACAGGACAAACAGACGCTGGCTTCTCACTCCGGTGTTAGATTTAACACTATCATATTATTAGTATTATTATTTACTTACCTATGGAGCTGAGCCCTTCTTGAGAAGAAGCCAAATCTGCAGCTACTCAAGAATTTCCCAGCATTTTACGGAACCCGAAGGTTCATTACCGTGTTCACAAGAGCCCTTCACTAGTCCCTACCCTGAGCCAGATCAATCCAATCCATACCATCCCATCCTATCTCTCTAAGATCCATTCTAATATTGTCCACCCACCTACGCCTTGGTCTTCCAAGTGGTCTCTTTCCTTCTGGTTTTCCCAATTATTATTATTATTATTATTGTTATTATTGTCATTATTATTATTATTATTATTAGTGGGGTGAGACTGAATTCACTTGGTACTGTGACCACTTAACTGGCCCACCGTACCAGCCCCAGATGATGATGGTGATTGTGGAGCAATTGGTGGAATGAATACTGACAGGGGAAACTGAAGTACTCGGAGAAAACCTGCCCTAGAGCCACTTTGTCTGCTACAAATTCCA